TTCTCCTCTGCTCCCCCAGCACTTCCTGCCCTGTGGGTTGCCTCTCCGTGGGTCTGCTTGGGGCAGAGGGTTGTGCGTGTGTGGGGAGGGTGTGTGGAGGCTTGGATCTGTGTGTGTGTGCGCGGTGTGAGTGTTGGGTTTCTGTGTGGGGTGGGGTGGGTCTGTGTAGTGTGTGTGTGTGTGTGTGGGGGGGTGTGGATCTGTTGTGTGTGTGTATGTGTGGGGTGGGGTGGGTCTGTGTAGTGTGTGTGTGTGTGGGGGGGTGTGGATCTGTTGTGTGTGTGTATGTGTGGGGTGGGGTGGGTCTGTGTAGTGTGTGTGTGTGTGGGGGGGTGTGGATCTGTTGTGTGTGTGTATGTGTGGGGTGGGGTGGGTCTGTGTAGTGTGTGTGTGTGTGGGGGGGACTGTGGCGTGTGGATCTGGGGTGTGTGGGGCTGTGTGAGTGTCATGGTGTGCGGGGGAGGGGCAGCGTTTGGGTCAGGGGAGCAACAGTGGGATGGGGGAGGGGCGACTTGGGAAGCTCCCACCCCACCTGGATGACAACCCCTCGGGCAGCTACAAGGGCGGGGACCGATCTGGGGATTCCCCCGCCTGCTCTGCCGTGGGTCAGGGTCTCTCTCCCCCCTGTGCCAGCTTGCTCCTCCTCGCTCGCCCCCGTCCGCCCGATCTCCGGCTCCTTCGCCCCTTGGCTCGCCTGCCACGCTGGCGTCCTTTGGCTCGTCCTTTGCTCACGGAGCCCCCCCCTTGCGACTTCCGGCTGCTCACCCCCGGGCCTGGCACGCAGCCCTCGTCCGCCTGCGCCTGCTCCTGCCCCATCCCCCTTTCGCCTGCCCCTTTGCCGGCCTGGCTTCTCTCTCTCTCCTGCTCGGCCGTTCGCTTGCGCTCGCTCTCGCTTGCTGCCTGTCGCTCACTGGCCCCTTGGCTCGTTTCCTCTCTCTCCCCTGCTTGCTTGTCTTCTGTCTGCTCTTTACCGGCCTCGCCCGTGGCTCTGTCTCTCCGCTCCTGTTGGCTCGCCTTGCTCGCTCTCCGCTCGCTGCACGCTCTCTCGCTCGCCCCTTTGCATGCTCTCTGGCTCCCCCCGCCTGGCCTTCTCTGGCTCTTTCTGCTCTCTCTCTTTCTCTCTCTTGTGCTCGGCTCTGTTGCTCATCCTGCCTCTCTCGCTGCCTGGTTTGCTCGCCTTGCTGTGCTCGCTTTCTCTTTCTTTGCTCACCTGACTGCACGCTCCCGTACCTGGGATGGTGGCAGCGAGGGCCTCGAGCAGGGGACCCCCCCCACGCACAATTGTAAAAGTGCAAGGTCTTTGGCCCCTCCCACTTCGTAACCACGTGTGTGCAGAATTCACGCCCCCCCACAGAGCTCACCCCCCCCCAGTCTCAGTAATCGATCCGGTGGAGAGGAGGGGGGAGGCGCTGCAATGACACCTTGAGTCCACCAAGGAAGCCGGGTCTGCTGCTCTCTCCCCCATATACTGTCCGTGTCTCTTTTCATCGTGCGCCAGGCTCGGCTCTCGCCCCGTCAGCCTGGCTCGCTCACACAGCTTTGCACACCTGGCTGCGCCCTCCGGCTTTCTCTTGCTCGCTTCTCTTCCCAGGCTGTCTCGCTCGCTCGTTCCTTTTCCCCCACATGGCGCTGTGGTGTGGCCAAGGCAAGGCCTATTTTCAGGAGAGTTTTCTTTCGTTGACATAAACAGCCCCCAGTGAGCGGCAGTAGCTGTGTCAATGGGTGACGCTAGGCGGAAGGGGAGTGGGCACACTTGTGCTTAAGTCAGTGCAACTTATGTCGCACCAGGGTGTGTGATTTTTTTTCCACACCCATGTGCAACTTAACAGGAGAACCGGGGGGAGGGGTGTGGGTCACCAAATAAAATCAATAGGCAGCAGGTTTAAAACAAACACAAGGCAGCATTTCTTCACCCAGCAGCCAGTCCACCTGTGGAACTCCTTGCTGGAGGATGTTGTGAAGGGCAATATTATACCAAGGTTTAAAAACAAGCCAGGTAAATTCATGGTGAATAGGACAGCTATTAGCCAGGCTGGGTAGGGAGGGTGTCCTTAGCCTCGGTTTGCCAGGAGCTGGGAATGGGCGACATGAAAGGACACTCTGGGCTGCACTAGAGGGCAGGAGGAAAATTCTGGGGCCATTAGGACAATGATTTGGTTCCCCCGTCTCTGTGCCTGTCCCCCAACCAGCCACCTGAAGGCACTTTTGGGAAATGAACCTTTGGTGGGGCCTTGAGTGCTTGACCGCAATCGGCGCTGTGCCATCGAGAGGCGCAAGGGGGTGTGCGCGCTGTGGAACTGCACCCTGGATATCCCGGGAAATCATTTGCGTCAGCTGCCATGGAGGGACCCTGTTCTTGGCTCCTCATGTCTCCCCTTGCTGCACTTTGGGGGTTTTTTCACTCCACCCACCCAAATAAAGATTTCTTGATTCACTGGGGAAGTTGCCTTTTTAACTGGGGCGGATTCAGTCCGGCTTCCCGGTCTAACGGGGAGTTAAACGGTTTGAGGGATGGAGGAGGGACAGGGTGCGAGGCTGGTGCTGGTTCTGGGCAAGCCTAATTTGTGGGATGGGGGTGCCCTCCCCTCCCTTGCCTTGCCCCGGAGCATTCAGCAACCTTCCTGGCTGTGGGAAACTACCCCTTATGGCAGGGGAGGGGAACCTCTTCTAGGCTGGGAGCCACCGACCCACAGAAAAATCAGCCAGGGGCTTTACAAAAGTCCAATCCCTTTCTCATGGACTGAAACAGTAGAAAGACACTCCCCACATTCCCCTTGCACACCAGAGTCTCATGGGGCCCAGGCGGATAGATTGTGTGCTCCAGCCCCATGGGAGCTGATGAGGGTGCTGGGGTGCTAGCAGGCTCCCCAATGTCGAGAGGAGCCCTGAGCCATGCGGCAGGGGGCCCGAGTCACCCACACCTTAGGACTCAGGGCATTAGGCAAAAAACCAGCCAGCCAAACAAGCTGCCTCAGGAGAGATTTTATAGCAGCATAAGCGTAACCAGAGGCAGCATGAGCTTCCTGGGCAGGAATTGACCCCCCCCCCCCAAAGATCATCACTGGGATAGGCTGGCCCCTAGCGCTCAGAGCTAGCACCACCTGCACCAGGGCCACTCTTGGGTCATCGAGCAGTGTAAGTCCCCAAGGACACAACACAGTGGTAGGAACCTGAACCCAGGGTAGCATATTCTAATCAGTATAACAGTAGCATGTGGATCTCCCCGGGGGAGCATGGGTCTCCAATCCCCCTTCCACATGGAGGCAACTGCATGAGCCACTGGGGAAAGAAACACACGGGTTACTTGAGCCCCAACCTCGGCACTGAAAAAGGAGACACTGAGTGCTTAGCTAGCCCTAGGCATTGCTAGGGACCCTGAAGTGCAGGTCCTAGCCCCAGCCTTGCCATGTTACAGTAGACAAGACCCCTTTCGTTACAAGCCCTAAATGCTCAGCATCTTTCAACAGCCTCTTCCCAGTCCTCAGTGCCAGCTCCATAGGGGACCTAAAACAAACCCCTTGTCTACCCAGCACAAGCGGAAAGTCAAGAGACTCACCCGATCATTTTCGCCGCATGCAAAACCGTGTTATCAGCCTAGGAGTAAAAGCTTTTCTAGGGCGAGCCCAGCTCTTTCTATGCGAAAGTGGGTGGCCCTTAAAAGGGCCTTTGGTGGAACAGCGACACGAAGCTTTACGCAGCGATTTAACCCCCGAAGCCGTAGAGGGTGCGGCCCTGGCGTTTCAGGGCGTACACCACGTCCATGGCCGTCACGGTCTTGCGCTTGGCGTGCTCGGTGTAAGTCTCCGCGTCGCGGATCACGTTCTCCAGGAAAACCTTCAACACCCCGCGGGTCTCCTCGTAGATCAGCCCGGAGATACGCTTGACACCGCCGCGGCGAGCCAGACGGCGAATAGCGGGCTTGGTGATGCCTTGGATGTTATCCCGGAGAACCTTGCGATGCCGTTTGGCGCCTCCTTTCCCCAGCCCCTTCCCGCCTTTGCCACGACCAGACATTCTGCACTAAGAACTCTTACTACCACAGCAACTGTGTGAATAGGCAACGGCGTGCTAAGGTTTTATATAGCAAGGGGTCCGACCTGAGTGAAAACTGAGCGAGAGCTGGCGCCGCCGCCCGCCTCTTTCCCCGCCCCTAATGCCGGCCTGAACGGCGCTCCCGGCTTCCCCAATGAAAGATGGCGCCTTGGCCTCTCAGCCAATCATCAAGCAGCGGGCATTTTTAAATTTGAACAGCAAAGCTTGGCGCCCAAGCGGAAGTGCCTAAGGACAAGCAGTGAACACGGAATGAAGGTGAATGAATTCTTCCCTTGAGGCCACCAGAGCTGTAAGGGGATGGGGATACTTCTCACTGCCCAGGACCCCAAACTGCTGAGCCTCGCCTCCTGCAAGCTCCGCACTTTACTGGCTAGGATTTTTAGTTTCCTAACACACTAGAAATAAAATCAATTTAATTTCCCCCTAATCCCAAGTGCATTCTGCCCAGTGGAGGCTATTTGCTTTGAAACGCTTTATTGTGATTGCATTAGAAAAAGAACATTTTATGAGCACCCTACCCCTTGTCTCGGTGGGACCGACTCCAGATTTGGGGATGCGGATAGGGATGGGGATAGGGAGCGGAAATCAAGGCAGAATGTTCTCCTTTTACTCAGTGTGGTCAGCCTCTTTCTGTCTTTTGGTCAGGAGACAAGTGTTAAGAGATTTTCAAAGCGCCCCTCTCCCCTGGCTCCTACAGTCAAGTGGCTAATGTGATGAGTTCAGGCTTCATTAACGAAAAAATAACTTTTCCAGTCTTCTTGCGTGTGCAGCAAGCTTCAAAAAGTGACCCCCCCAAATCAGGCCACCGGGAAGACTCAGGCAAATAAAAAGGCTGTACATAATACAGTGATTTTAAAGCCAATCTCATGATTTTTGAGAGGGGCGAGACAAGAGGGAGGCCCTTCAAAGCTTGACTTTTGACTGAGATTTCTCCCTCCGTTGGTATGAGCCTGTCCGGGATGGGCGGTTTCCTTGGGTCGGTGTGGTGTAAACAGGATCAAAATGCCCCTCCCGGCCCGGAATGAAATTCACCGGGTGTTTCAATGCGATAGCTGGCTTTTCGCTTACGGGAAATCGCTCTCCCTCCCCCCCCGCCTTTCCAGGGCCGGCTTTGGCGCCATTTTTGTAACAAAGGCAAACAAGCTTCTCCTCTTTCACCCCCACCCAATCCGATTTTAGAAATCCCGCCCGAAAGCAGCTTTAACGGAGATTAGCAAACAGCGGTGAAACCCCGTTTAGGAAACAGGGGAAAAAAAAAGTCCTTGCCTATCCTTTCTCAGGGAAGCCAAGAGAACTTGGTTTTAGAAATTCAACGTCCCCGTAAAAAATCGATTCAAAACCCTGGCTGTCCCTCCACTTTCCTATGAACACATTAGGCTTCAGGCGTGAAGTATAGAGCACCTCAAAACTATACCAGTTAGAAGAAACGTAGGGAGAGATTTCAGTTTCCTCTTGCCCACCCACGTGAGAACAGCCTTACTAGTTTCCAAGTCATATTAACTTTAAAAAACCTTGTATATTTACACTAAGGAAACTGCTTATGCCTGTTAAAAGGCACGAGTGGTCTCAAGAATTGTTAAAGGAACACAACATTATGCTATTCTAGAACTACATTCCATGCAAAACCTGCTGTACTTTCATGGTTTTGTACTGAAAACAGTGACTGTAGCTCTGATAGGAGAAGTTGGGTGGCTCTTAAAAGAGCCTTTGGATTTTAGGAAGTAACAGCTTCTGAAGGCGATACAAATTACTTGGAGCTGGTGTACTTGGTGACAGCCTTGGTGCCCTCAGACACGGCGTGCTTAGCCAGCTCTCCAGGCAGCAGCAGGCGCACAGCGGTCTGGATCTCCCGGGAGGTGATGGTCGAGCGCTTGTTGTAGTGCGCTAGGCGGGACGCTTCCCCAGCAATGCGCTCGAAGATGTCGTTCACAAACGAGTTCATGATGCCCATGGCCTTAGAGGAAATACCGGTGTCAGGGTGAACCTGCTTCAGCACCTTGTACACGTAGATGGAATAACTCTCCTTCCTGGTCTTGCGGCGCTTCTTGTCGCCCTTCTTCTGAGTTTTGGTCACCGCTTTCTTGGAACCCTTCTTGGGCGCAGGAGCGGATTTTGCTGGTTCAGGCATCGTGAAAAATACACAAACTGCAAAGCACAAAAGATGAATGGAGCATGGTCTGGGAGAACGCCCTTTATTTATAGAGCAACTATGCAGATGAAGGAGCCTAATTGTTACTTTCTTATTGGCTAACACTGAGTAACACGTCACCGCCGTTGTCTTCTCAAGCTACACAAGTTAGCTCTAACTCTTCCCCTTCTTATTGGATAGTCGTAGCATCCTAAGTCCCTATTGGCTAGGTGGTGAATGGAGCATGGTCTGGGAGAACGCCCTTTATTTATAGAGCAACTATGCAGATGAAGGAGCCTAATTGTTACTTTCTTATTGGCTAACACTGAGTAACACGTCACCGCCGTTGTCTTCTCAAGCTACACAAGTTAGCTCTAACTCTTCCCCTTCTTATTGGATAGTCGTAGCATCCTAAGTCCCTATTGGCTAGGTGGAGAAGTAACGCTCCCATTGGCTGTTTGAGGCAGAGCCAATGGCCTATAAAAGGCTGAAGCTGAAAAAGCGCAGTATCGTATCTGGAGCAGTTTTGAGTTTTTACTTGTGTTTGAAGTTCTTTGAGATGTCTGGTCGTGGAAAACAGGGAGGTAAAGCTCGCGCCAAGGCTAAATCTCGCTCTTCTCGTGCTGGGCTGCAGTTCCCAGTCGGCCGCGTTCATCGTTTGCTGCGCAAGGGAAACTATGCGGAGCGAGTGGGTGCCGGCGCCCCCGTTTACATGGCCGCGGTGCTGGAGTACCTGACGGCTGAGATTCTGGAGTTAGCTGGTAATGCCGCTCGGGACAACAAGAAAACCCGCATCATCCCCCGCCATCTGCAGTTGGCCATCCGCAATGACGAGGAGCTGAACAAGCTGCTGGGCAAAGTCACCATCGCTCAGGGTGGGGTTCTGCCCAACATCCAGGCGGTGCTGCTGCCCAAGAAAACCGAGAGCCACAAAGCCAAGGGCAAATAAGGAGGCGGCTCTGAATTTCCTGAACCCAAAGGCTCTTTTAAGAGCCACCCACAGCTTCAAAAAGAGCTGGTGTCTGAAACCTGTGTCTATGGGGTGGGGAATTCAACTTGTTCAGAAGTAGGCAGAGGAGTGATGTAAAAGTGCATATAAACAGAAAAATGGGGCTTTTAACACTCTGGAAATACACTGGGTTTGGTATCAGGGCTTTTCCCCCTATGAAATCAATTCCTCCCAAAGGCATTTGCAGTGGTGTGAGTTACAGTACAATTAAAGTAAGGAGAAAAATTGGGTTCTTTTAGTAGAGTTTTTGAAGTTATCTGATGGGAGGGCCTTTTAAAAATCAAGAATACAATACATTTAATCTAAACTGCTTGAGTTTTGAGTATTTTGCCATGTGAGCTCCACAAGTCCAGATATATTAATATTCCACGTGAGACTCTCATGCCCTCTCTTTTTGCCTCTGCAAGTGTAGCCCTATTCTGGCTCAGGCCAGGAGAGATTAACTACAGCTCGCTCTGCATGGGGGTTACTAGTCGGAGCTAAAATGGATTTGCAAAATCTGCCCAGGTTTTCTCCTCTGCTCTCATTACAGCAGCTACAAAATAGGAGCATGCTCTCGGCCTATAAAAGGCTGAAGCTGAAAAAGCGCAGTATCGTATCTGGAGCAGTTTTGAGTTTTTACTTGTGTTTGAAGTTCTTTGAGATGTCTGGTCGTGGAAAACAGGGAGGTAAAGCTCGCGCCAAGGCTAAATCTCGCTCTTCTCGTGCTGGGCTGCAGTTCCCAGTCGGCCGCGTTCATCGTTTGCTGCGCAAGGGAAACTATGCGGAGCGAGTGGGTGCCGGCGCCCCCGTTTACATGGCCGCGGTGCTGGAGTACCTGACGGCTGAGATTCTGGAGTTAGCTGGTAATGCCGCTCGGGACAACAAGAAAACCCGCATCATCCCCCGCCATCTGCAGTTGGCCATCCGCAATGACGAGGAGCTGAACAAGCTGCTGGGCAAAGTCACCATCGCTCAGGGTGGGGTTCTGCCCAACATCCAGGCGGTGCTGCTGCCCAAGAAAACCGAGAGCCACAAAGCCAAGGGCAAATAAGGAGGCGGCTCTGAATTTCCTGAACCCAAAGGCTCTTTTAAGAGCCACCCACAGCTTCAAAAAGAGCTGGTGTCTGAAACCTGTGTCTATGGGGTGGGGAATTCAACTTGTTCAGAAGTAGGCAGAGGAGTGATGTAAAAGTGCATATAAACAGAAAAATGGGGCTTTTAACACTCTGGAAATACACTGGGTTTGGTATCAGGGCTTTTCCCCCTATGAAATCAATTCCTCCCAAAGGCATTTGCAGTGGTGTGAGTTACAGTACAATTAAAGTAAGGAGAAAAATTGGGTTCTTTTAGTAGAGTTTTTGAAGTTATCTGATGGGAGGGCCTTTTAAAAATCAAGAATACAATACATTTAATCTAAACTGCTTGAGTTTTGAGTATTTTGCCATGTGAGCTCCACAAGTCCAGATATATTAATATTCCACGTGAGACTCTCATGCCCTCTCTTTTTGCCTCTGCAAGTGTAGCCCTATTCTGGCTCAGGCCAGGAGAGATTAACTACAGCTCGCTCTGCATGGGGGTTACTAGTCGGAGCTAAAATGGATTTGCAAAATCTGCCCAGGTTTTCTCCTCTGCTCTCATTACAGCAGCTACAAAATAGGAGCATGCTCTCAGCCCATGAATAAAATTGGGTGTGAAATAAGGGCTGTTTAAAAATGGACATAGTGGGTCAAACCAATGGCCTGTCTAATTCAGTATGTTTTCTGATAGGGGCTGGTGCAGTGTACATCCGTGGGAATTAACAGAACAGGCAATCAGGGGACCCTGTTCCCTCCCTGTGGTAGTTGGAGATGGGGGAAGGCAACCCCAAGCATCCCTAAACACCCTTGCTAATAGCCATTGGATTGATCTTCCATTAGCTTATTTTCTGAACTGTTACAGTTTTGGCCTTCACAATATCACAGTTTGCTGGGTTGGGTGGGTGTTGTATGGAAAGGAAAAAGTGCTTTTTTTTGTAGGTGGCTTGTTTATATGCAGGAAACAGATGGAAAGCCTCTAAAATGCTTTCCAGAAACTGCAACCTGGTTGAGAACTCCCCACACCTCTTGGCGGGGCAGGGTGTTCATCTGCTCCCTCCCCCCATATTAGGTGTTTGACAGAGCACTCGTCCCTTCTTGTATGTGAGTCTGTTTTGCAGGAACACTGCTTACGCCTGTTTCTCTGTATTGCACCACTGCCTGTGTGTTGGGAATCTTGGAGCAGGTGAGGTGTCTCCAGCTGCCTGCACCTTAAGCAATGGCTGCTGCCCTTTGTCACCTGAGAACCAGGAGAGGAGAGGGAAGAGACCAGGGACACTTTGCTTGGTAAGACAAAAGACCGGAGGCAGTCAGAGTGCTGAAAGAAGCCAGTATTTCCTGGCTTGGAGCCCAGAGAGAGGGCCTGAGCTTTGACTCTGGGCCCTCCTCTCTGCAAAGTGGACTTTACGTGAATGTTCCTGCTTTTTGTGCTAACAAGATCTGTCCTGTGTTCTTGTCAACTAATAAACCTGCTGGCTGGGAGGCACTGGTGGTAGTCCTCTTAGCTTCCCCAGACAGATTCCCTGCAGGGAGTGCATGATGAAAATGGGGCTGAAAGCTCTAAGAGTCAGACCCAGGAAGGCTGCAGCCATGTAGGCCTTTTGCCCTGGTGATAGAGTAGGCATGCTACTCTGGAGTCCTGCCTGTCTTCCTTTCTGGAACAGCTCCAGCCTTGGTCCTGGGAGTCCATGACACTGGGTCTTTCAGCTCTCCCCTCCATGGTCCAATGTCTGTATGCCTCCAGTCCTCCTTCACCCAGTAGGATCTCTGTGTGAACTTCCAGAACATCCTTCCTTCCCTTGCAAGGGTTTCTGTGTGCGGCATCCTTCTTCTACAGTGCCATTCTCTTGTCTCCCAGTCCACGAGCTGTGTACACCTCTGCCCAGGCCAATGCATTCCCTTCCCATGCACCCCAAGTAACCTTGCCGTGTGGGAGATAAATTTTTTCAGTATACCTGTATCAATATGTGAATTGGGAGGAGAAGCAGACGTAAAAAGGGGGTAGGTATGAATGGTCTCTCATCTTTTTCATCCATGTGCAGAATAAATTTTGCTCTCCCCACCAAAGCATGTGGAAATGTGCACCACCAGTGGAAACAAAACCTAGCTGAGAGTGCTCTGCTAGTCAGCTGGGTGGCATTTGAATTTCTCATGAGCAGCTGCACAAGCACCCAGCTTGCAGGGGATGCTGGTGGGTATGCTAGAGGGGGTTACAGGGCATCAACCAATTATGTAATCTACAGGCAATTGCAGAAATGCTTGAGGCTGGGCCTGTGCTAAGGAACTGGTAGGAGCTTGATGTTTCCCTATTTGGCTTTCAAATCCATCCCTGGTTCCCCTAAATCACTCTGATCATTGATGCCAGAACTATTTCCTGAACACTGGGAACTGACTGGATGTAAGATTCCAAAGTTCTCATATTACAGACAACTCCCATTCCGTTCACCAGCTCAGCCCAGAATTCTGTTCACAGTGGAATGAGCCTCTGCCCCTCTATCACACAAGGGGGAACTCTTTAGCACCAGACACTTACACATTGTGTCATTAAATTCTAGCTTACACCCCTATTGCACAGAAATTCCACGACTCCCAGACCTGGTTGTTTGGGAGGGAATCTTTAAGGCAGCTGAGTGAGGTAACAGATGTAAGTTGCACTTTAAAATCCTTCTGGCCAAACCAGATTTATCCATGTGAATGATCAGAACCTGTCATTATCAGGAGCAACTGATGCTATGCAGCAAATGGGATGGAGGAGGAGATCCCAAAGCAGCCTTGTCACAGTGATGGGTCCACCCCTGCTGTCCAAGGAGGGCATCCAGACAGGCTGGCTCTAGCATGTTAAGATGCACCACCCCTACTGGGCACCAGCGTGATCCCAGGTTGCTTGGTGAATAGGCAAAACCAAACAAAGCCTTTTAATACAGAAAGATGAGAAGCTAGACATCGCAGAAGAAGGAACAGCAGCCATACTTACAGAATGGGGGCCCCTAGACTGGGAAGCAGTGAGAATAATTGGAGGATCCTAGTGGATAATTAGCTGAACATACAATCCCACTACAACACTGAGGGCCAACCATATAATACAGGCCACAAGTGTATAAATGGGAGTGTCTAGGAGTAGTGAGGCTTTTTGTAACCTGTTTATTTGGCAGCAGTTCTGGTACCCACCCGATAGCCTGTCATAAGATGGGATTTTTGGGGGTCTCTCTCTCCCTCCCTCCTCCTCCTGCCTCTCACTCTCTTCTCCTCCCCCTTCTGCCTCTCACTTGGGGTACCGCGGAGCCCAAATGGCCACTTGCTCCCCCGCAGCGGCCTGGCTGAGAAGCACAGAAGTCAGCAGAGCGCCAAGCTGGGAGGCGAAGGACGTGAATCAGGCAACAGCCAATATTTCAGCATTACAGAGTCACAGACATTGAGCTACTATATATATATATATATATATATGAATGATTGGAGAGGGTTCAGAGAAGAGTCTACAACACGTGGGTTTAGACTGGATATAAGTGGAGTTAATTAACCTTTGGGACAATTTACTAAGGGTTAAGCTGGAGCCTCCAGCACTAACAATATTTAAGGATTGCTACTATATTTCAAACAGGATTTTGGAAACGACCGATGGCCTGCCTTAGACAGGAAATCAGAGTAGATGAACACACAGGTTTCTCCTGGCCCTTGACTCTCTCTAACTCTGCCTAAGAGACTATCATTTACTGTATGTTTGAACAAGGCAGCTGAGCCCCTAGCTGATGCCCTTAAAATGGTACACAATGCTAGTGTTACATAAAAACACAAACTGGATATAATTGTACACTAGTCATCTGAAGAAGTGGGCTGTGTCTATGAAAGCTCATGATCCCATCTAAATGTTTTGTTAGTCTGTACAGGATAAACTTAAACAAATAATCTGGTAGCACTTTATAGACTAACTCAGCTATCCCCTGAAGCTTTTGGATACAACCAGTGAGGGTGAATTAAGCATTTGAAAGACAGATCAATTGTGGCTAATGGACGCAGATAAGATGGACACAGTCTTTTGGAAAATAGGAACACACAAATATTCAAAAGCATCTATTCATATCAACTGATGTGGAAAACAAAAAAGCCTACTTTAGACAAGATTTGAATGGATAAGAAACCTAAGGATGACAAAGCAGGAGTAGTCAATAGGGAGGCAGATCAAATGCAGAGCAGTTGATGCTACTTTATAGAACCCGGAAAAACGAACAAGAACGAGGAAAAAAACCCTTGTTTTACAACCAAATTCTATATGCAAGTCATAGCATAAAGCAATGCATTTGCAGGGACAGACACAAATGCAGACCGAATTTCGCGTGGGTGTAGTCCGACCAGAAGGAAAACTGAGGGGGCAACCAGCTGGAACCACCCCCCATTTCCGCGCCACCTTCCTATAGTGTGACGCACCTTCCCTCCCGCCTATGAGGCGCCGCACAGAGAATTCTGGCCAATCGCTAGACAGCTCGTAACTTTAAATTCAAAAAGTAGCTTTTTGGCGCCAACTGTGTTCCCCGAGCTTTGCACAGGAAATGAACAAACATTTCTCCACTGTTCAATAAACTAGTCCAAGTAAAAATTAGCATTTCAACGTAGGACACTGATTAAAGCTTTCAACCGCGCTGCTTACAAGATTGAATTAGTTTCCACCTGTGGCTAAATTGAAAATGTTCTCTAGAATTTTTTTTCCTACTAAAAACATCTGTGTGCACCCATATCAATTGTTTCTAGCTCTCCCTTTGTATTCCCTTGAAACATTTGAGGATCGTTCTTATAGACCAGTTTATTCCTTAAGAGATCAGTAGCTTGCCTCAAGTATAGAAGTTATAAAACGAATTGATATGAAAATTTGTAAGTTTAAGTTGAGATGAAAACATTAAGCCACTGAAGTGATGCTTGGGAAGAAATGGAGACCATCTAGATGCTACTTTGAATTTTTGAAAGTCTAAAATGTGATAAAAAATTGAAAAACAGACCCCAGTATTTCCACATCAAAATCCCCTTTAGTACAGAAGGGAGACAATGTAACATATTGCATTAAACTAACATCATCTCACCCACCAGGTCTTTCTAGTGAAAAGATTCAGATTCTAGTAAAACCAGCTATTCAATATTTCTATTGGTGAGAAATTCTAGCTTTCAAAACCTTCTAAGTCTGAAAAAATCGAGTATTATAGCTGAATATAAAGAGCCAATTGTTTAACCTGCACAATACTGATAAGCATACAGAATTATCCTCGAAACGTTTCCCAAATAAGTTACTAGCCCTCACTTAGTGTAAAAAGGTGTAGAATCAGTATTTATTGCATCCCAATAGGAGTATGTTTATGACTTACCAAAATTGGCTATACAGACGTATCAGATTAAATGTTAACAAGTTAAAACATCGAAAGCAATAAGCTCTTTTATGGATCGATTAGGTGGCTCTTAAAAGAGCCGTTGTGTTGTGTTTTTTTTTTTTTAAAAAGATCGATTACTTAGAGCTGGTGTATTTAGTGACGGCCTTAGTACCCTCAGACACGGCGTGCTTAGCCAGCTCCCCAGGCAGCAGCAGCCGCACGGCGGTCTGGATCTCCCGGGAGGTGATGGTCGAGCGTTTGTTGTAGTGCGCCAGGCGGGACGCCTCCCCAGCAATGCGCTCGAAGATGTCATTGACGAAGGAGTTCATGATGCCCATGGCCTTAGAGGAAATACCGGTGTCGGGGTGCACCTGCTTCAGCACCTTGTACACGTAGATGGAATAACTCTCCTTCCTGGTCTTGCGGCGCTTCTTGTCGCCCTTCTTCTGGGTTTTAGTCACCGCTTTCTTAGAGCCTTTCTTAGGTGCGGGAGCAGATTTTGCTGGATCAGGCATTTTTGCGCTGCTATCAGGAACAAACAACAGAATACGAGCAGAACAAGCTGAATGAAGAACACTACGGCCAACGCTTTATTTATAGGGCTCCTACGCAAATGAAGGTAGCCTAAGTCCTACTTTCCTATTGGCTGGTAAACGGTCAGCTCGCTAGAAAAGGACTATCTACATACCTTTTGCTCTAAGACTCAATCTTATTGGATAACTTCAGCATCTGACTTCCGATTGGTCAGGTCAAGAAAACGTCTTCCCATTGGGTATTTTCCAGGCGCTCTTTAGCCGTCCAATCAGCAGTATCTGTCCTGATCATTGCGAAGGCATAAAAGGTCAAGAATGCGCTGGTTTGAATCAGGCTTGTTTTTGCTCTTACGTGTGGCTGAAGTCTTTTGAGTGAAGTTAATCAGACTTTTACAATGTCGGGCCGTGGAAAGCAGGGAGGGAAAGCTCGTGCTAAGGCGAAGTCCCGATCTTCTCGTGCTGGCTTGCAGTTCCCTGTAGGCCGTGTCCATCGTCTGCTGCGCAAGGGGAACTACGCGGAGCGAGTGGGCGCTGGCGCTCCAGTTTACATGGCCGCGGTGCTGGAGTACCTGACAGCTGAGATTCTGGAGCTGGCTGGCAACGCCGCTCGGGACAACAAGAAAACCCGCATCATTCCCCGCCACTTGCAGTTAGCCATCCGCAACGACGAGGAGCTGAACAAACTGCTGGGCAAAGTCACCATCGCTCAGGGTGGGGTCCTGCCCAACATCCAGGCGGTGCTGCTGCCCAAGAAAACCGAGAGCCACAAAGCCAAGGGCAAGTGAGGCTGCTACCGCCTTGCAGGCGAGGGGAAACTCCTACGCTACTCGAAAACTCAACTCCAAAGGCTCTTTTCAGAGCCACTCACAATCTCCGGCAAAAGAGCTGTTTGATCCTTATCGGGGCTTGTTATAAAGACATTGCATAAGGTGAAGGGCAATAAAAACCTCAAAGGGTGTTGGGACCATGTATGAAAACAAACCTATTTTAAAGAACGGTTCCCCCCTGTCTAATGTGAATCCCTTCCACCGCGGTGTGATTTTAATAAAGGAAAAGGAAACGGGGATGGGTTGGGTTTCTTTCACTGTTAGGAGCTGTTCTAAACTATCACGGCTGAGAATCTCTTCAGACCAAATACCCGTGAATTCAGAGTCGCGTCTCCTGCTAGAAGCCAATATTTCAGAGGGTGTAAGCTGTGTGGCTGCTCTTAGATCCCATGTGGAGCTGCCCAGTGAGCGGGGATGCAAACAAGGGCAGGCCGTGGGAGACCTGCCGGCTGAGCGCTGTACGGGAGAATGAAATCAAAAGCAGCGTTGAAGCTTGAGCGCTGTGCGCGCCGCGCCATTCCTGGGCACTGACACCGATTTCAGTGCAGCTCTTGCAAGGCTGGGCGGGTGGGTTGGCGCGCTGCGGAGGGTGGTTTATCTCTGGCCAATCCAGCCCAGCCCGGCAATTTTAACCTACAAGCGGCGGAGAGCAGCGCTGCCAGCTAATCAGCCGTGGAGGGAGGGAGGGGGGGGGGGGGTTGCGTGTTTGGCCACCATCCCTGCGCAGCCCATGAAATTCAAAAGGCTCAGCTGCCCCGGCGCGTTACTGACAATCCGCCACCGCGGGCGGCCCGTGACATTCACAGGCTCTGAGGGAGGCCCTTGGCCCCAGAGGCCCTCTGTTCACCCAGGGGCTGCCCCCCCCCCCGCCACCGCGGGCGGCCCGTGACATTCACAGGCTCTGAGGGAGGCCCTTGGCCCCAGAGGCCCTCTGTTCACCCAGGGGCTGCGCCCCCCCCCTCCGGAGTCCCCCCCCCATTAGCCCGCCCCCGCGTCGC